GTCTCTCTGTCTCTCGCTCTCTCTCTCTCTCTCTCTCTCTTTCTCTCTTTCCCTCTCTCTCTCTCTCCCTCTCCCTCTCCCTCCCTCTCTCTCTCTCTCTCTCTCTAGTTAAGGACAATAACAAGATCACTGTATAGAGCCTTAGGGATAATAACAAAGATAACAAATAATAGCAATAACAGCACAGGCAACAACAGCAACGCCCAGTATACATATTTTACTCCTTATATTCTTTCACTCTTTCACTAAACTGTCACAGGTAGTGTCCATACTCTTTCATTTTTCACCCTTACCCTTTTTTTCCCAAACAGCATTCACCCTTCACCCTTTGCCTTTCACCCTTACGCATTCTCCTCATTTGCATACACCTGCGCTAACACTCTTGCATTTTCGTTCATTGACACTTGGCTTCGCGTCCTCTGTAAGTTACTTCTACTTGGTATGTGCGCGTGTGTCGTTATGTGTACGTGTGCTTGATTGCAATCGGGGAGGGTCGTGGCAGGTCGTGGGAACTCATGACAGGTCGTGGTGAGTCGTGGCAGGTGGATTTGTGTGTAGGGGGAGGATGGAAGGTGGGGGGGGGCAGGGAGGGAGGGAGGGAGGGAGGGCGGATTCTGTCTTAGTCACTCCTCTATTTAGACCTGTCTTGTCTCCCTCTCTCCCTCTTTTTCTCGTTCTCTTTGTCTCTTTGTCTCTCTGTCTCTCGCTCTCTCTCTCTCTCTCTCTCTCTTTCTCTCTTTCCCTCTCTCTCTCTCTCCCTCTCCCTCTCCCTCCCTCTCTCTCTCTCTCTCTCTCTCTCTCTCTCTCTCTCTCTCTCTCTCTCTCTCTCTCTCTCTCTTCTCTCTCTCTCTCTCTCTCTCTCTCACTCTCTCTCTCTCTCTCTCTCTCTCTCTCTCTCTCTCTCTCCCTATCTCTCCATCTATCTATCTCTCTATCTCTCTATCTCTATATCTCCATCTTTCTATCTCTCTATCTCTCTATCTATCTATCTCCCAACTTTCTCTGTCTCTCTTTCTCTCTCTCTCTTTCTCTCGCCACGTTAGAATGAAAGGAAAGGATCAGCAGTTCATTTTCCAGTCCAGAATGTGCGGACGGGAGAAAATGGTAATAAATTGAAGGTTGTTTGAGAGTTGCGTGCGGGGAGAACACGGGTGGAGGTTAGGGGTGTTAGGGGGGGTGTTGGGGAAGGAGGAGGAGGGTAAGGGGTAAGGGGTAAGGGGTAAGGGGGGGGTAGCAGCCAGTCAAAATCGTGTGTTCATACCACAGTGCAATGATAAGTGCAGGGTTGTGCAATAAGAGTGGGTTGCTTTTTGCATTGTGCCCATTGACAGGCGAGGGCCGTGTGTGTGGGGGGGAAGGGGGGAGGGGACGGGGGAGGGGGAGGGGAGGGGAGGGGGAGGATAAGAGGGTGGATGGTAGAGTAGGAATAAAAGAATAAGAAGAAAGGGAAAGACAGAGGGCGATATGGAGGTGGGGAAGTGTGGAGAAAAATGGGCAGGGGAGAGAGAGGAAACGGTAAGGAGAACAAAAAGAAGAAAAAAAGAATATAAGAAAGAAAAGAAAAAAAAGAGTGGGTGAAAGAGGAGGGAAAGTGAATAAATAAATTGAAGAAGGAGGGTAAGAGAGAGAACGAAGGGAGAGGAGGTAGAGGGAAGAAAGAAGGGGAAAGAATAGGAGGGAAGGGTCAAGAGTTGAGAGGGAATGGAATAGAATAAAAACAAAATAGAGGCAAAAGGTCATTCAGATAAAAAAAAGGAAGAGGACGTAAAAGAAGAAGAAGAAAAAAAAGAAGTAGAACGAAAGAGAGAGAGAGAAAGAAAAAAGCAAAGAAGAATTGATCTGTTTAATACGATCAGTCCATCATCCAGAGTTGAATGTCGGGTTGAGCGGCACTGTGATTGCAAGATGAATAATATTGCTTCGGGTCTTATGCCGGATGAAAGTAGACAAGCGCGAGGCGGTTGTTTGATATCGCCAGATGGAAAGTAGATAAGAGGCTAGAATTGATAGATGGGTGGGCGTGGGTGGCTGGATGGGGAGGGGGGGTAGGGGAGAGGGAGGAGGAGAGGAAGGGAAGGGGGTGGAGGGTGGGAGGGAGAGAGGGTGGGTAAGGAGGGGGAAGGGAGAGGGTTGAGGATGGGGAAGGAGGATGGAAAGGGGATGCAAGGGAGAGGGGGATGGGGGGGGGGGAGTGAGGGAACAATGAAAGGGGCGTTTGGAGACGACACAACGTGGCCTTTGCGCCTCTACCGTCACGGGGAATATCCACCGCAAATAAAACTCCACGCCAGTGTCTTCCCTCACTCCTCTTCACAAGTTCCCCTCCTATTTTTCTCCCTCCACCACTTCCCCTTTCCTCTCTATCTCTCTTGCTCTCACTCCCACTCTCGTATTTTACCCCCTTCCCCACCTCCCTTTTCTATCTTTTCCTCCCTCCCCCCCACCCTTGCTTAATTTTATAAACCCCTTTTCCTTCCCTCTGTCGCGACAGCTTCCCTCTCCCCTCACCGTCCAC